CGTGGGAAGCCTGCTTCTCCCTCTCCCACTCCCCCTGCTTGTGTTCCCTCTCTCGCTGTCTCTCTCTGTCAAATAAATAAATATTTAAAAAAAAATTTTTTCCCCTCAATTGCCAGTGATCCCTATTAGCTTAGAGCCAGTTGGAAGCTCTAAGCATGGGTGGAGTTTTATACTGGTAGGCTTCCCTAAAGTTAGTTGGCCTGGCACCTGACTGGTTCATGGAGAAGCCCTCCATATCCATATCTCCAAGTCTTTCGATGAGGGGTCCTTCCATTGCTCCAGAGAGGAGCCACTGATCTCCTGGCTGCCAGGGCCTTGGGATCTGGGCAGCTGGCTTGGAGGGAAGGGTCCCCCTCTCCCAGGACACTCCCTGTCCCTGGAGAATAAACTTCCCAACTCCTGCTGGCATTGGCATAGGGAAGGGACATCACCTGGCTGCCAAGGATGGGAGAAGGTGCCCTGGCATCTATCTTTTCACCAATCCCTATTTTCCACCTCATACTTCATCTCTGTCTCCTGGAGCACATGGGACTTCCAAGTCCTGAGGCCATTGGCACTGTGTGGCATGAAGGGGCTTATTTCTTAGTATCATCCTTGCAGGCATTTGGTATGCAATTTCCTCAGCCCTGCTCACTTCTCCATTCATTTTTCATCTTCCAAAAATGTGAAGAAATCTCTCATTTGCTGAGGTCTCTCTCCCATTCTCTTTGTCCTTGTGCTTATACAATTTTTATTCCTTTATTCTTATTTTGGTGAGGTTTTGGGAGAAAGAGGAAATAAAAGAACCTAACAATTTGCCATCTTTAACCAGAAATCTTCTCCTGCCTCCATGAATTATTCAACCAGGTACGATGGAGCTTTTGCCCCTGTGAGCACCCAGAAACAGTTCTCGAGGGCACCAGGGGCCTGTGTGGCAAACCCTGGGCCGCCCCTTCCGTCCTTGTCTCCTTGCCCTCTCTCACTGAGACAGCCCCAAATTCCCACGATACCCTCCTCCTGACTTCCTCCTACCCCCCACCCCCACCGGCCCATCTCATCGCTCCTGTTTTCCTTCGGAAGCGGCTTTCCTTGGTCCACGCCTTTAATGTAGTCTGTGTCCCGGGTCCTCTTTTATCCTTTTCTCCTTTGTCAGCCCACCAACCCTGGGGACCTCACTCTTCCCCAGGCCTTTTCTTCTCTTTTTATGCTGGTGACTGCCAAATCATTGCCACCAGTCTAGACCTTTGAACTTATTTCATCAACCACTTTCTGGATATAACCTTTAGATGTTGCCCCAAGAAGCTGCAAACAGCAGAGCCAAATTCCAGGCCTTGGTCCTTCATACTCCCCAGCCCTTGCCCAGATCTGTTCTTTGGCCTGGGTTTTTCATCTCATTTGATGACAATACTAACTAGACAGTTGCTCAAGCTCAAAAACTTAGAAATCTTTTTACATATTAAAAAATATAAATGCACATATATATTTATATATACATTCATATTATATATACATTCTTACTACAGAAAATTCCAGGCATATATAAAAAATGGAACAGATGTTCTCAACACCTAACTCCGATAATTATCAATATATGGCCAATCTTGTTTCATCAATGGTCCCCACTTCTTCCCCTTCCCAGAGTGGTGTGAAGGCATCCCCAGGCACCCTGTTATCTTATCAGCAGAGACTGAGTATACAGCTCTAAAAGACAAGGGACTGCTCTCCTTCACCCTTCCCTACCAGCAACTGGTGACAACTTATCTCGAAGGCTCCGCACACACAGACTTCCAGGCCAGGTCCCTGCAGTTCTATCTGGCCCTGCCCCTCACACCCCTGCCCCAGACATACCACACGACTCGAGGCTCCCCGAAGCTCTGTCGACTCTGCATGTGTGGCCCCTGCTGTCTGGATGTCCCTCTCCTCCCCTCTTCCCCCAGCTCAGGTCAGTCCCTAGCTTCTCCGAGAGCCCTCCTGTCTTCCCTGGGTGGGAGCCATCTCTGACAGCCGTGTCATCTCTACCGCAGACGGGCTGCCTTCCGCCTACCAGACTGTGAGCTTCTGAGGGCAGGAATCCTGTCTTATCTCTGAATCCCCAGAACTTAATACAGTGCCTGGAATGAGGTAGGTCTCGCATTAGCAGAATGAATGAGTGAATCAATTGAGAGACATTTCAGAGAAATACGTGAGAGACTCCATTGCAGGGGAATGGACAGGGGAAGACCTGGGGAGAAGCAAGGGACACAGAGGGGCTGACAACCCCAGAGCTTCCAGCGTGTGAGTCTAGGGAATGGCAATGGCTCTGACGGAAAATGGGAGAAACCTGGAGAGCAAGCTGGCTTTTGAAGGGTGACAATGAAATCTGAAATGTATATGTGATGGGCCACGTGTTGGTGGGAGACCCAACAGCGCACGGTGGCGTAGGCATAGAAAGCTGCAGGGAGATACGGGTGGCATGGCTGGAGGAGAGCATTAGCGTGGCAGACAAGGGGCTCACGGAGAGTCAATGCCACGTTCCAGAACATTATGGAATAGAATGGAATCCAAAGAGAGCCCTGCGAGAGCTCGTCTGTGTTAGGATGTGTGAGGGGGTATGCCTCATGCCCTTACTGGTGCGGACAGAGACTTAGGTGACCGTGCATATGGGGCCGCTAGAACCAAGTGAGCCAAATCACATACCACATCAAATGAAGGAATACTCAGAATAGTGCTTGGTTTGTAAAAAGCATTCAAGTCATTTTGATGATGATCATCTTAATATTCTTATTTGGCCTTTGGTAAGTCACGGTCTTTTTCGACTCTCACCCCTTGGCCAGAAGGTCCTGGGGCTTCCTTTGCTCGTGATGTTGCGGAAGCTATGATAATCTCTAACCCTCCCACTGTGAGGGATCAGAGGAAGAGACTGTGAGCTAAGAATCACTTGTGGAGAGGTGGTAGCTGAAGTCGTGAAAACCACTGCACGACGGAGGGAGACACGCAAGGGAGGAGAGAGAACCAGGGTGGAGTCTGAAGAGGCACTCCTGGTCTGGGAATGGTGACCGAGCTCACAAAGGACACGAGGACCTCGGTGGAGAAGCCAGGAGAGGGCTCTGGAGCAGAGGAGGTCGTGGAGGCTGCTGCCAGGGCCCCATGAATAGGGTCAGAGCCGCAGAAAGGTCGAGAAGGGTGAACTCTGAACTAGGCCCTGGGCCTGACCAGGGAACGTGGCACTGTGAGCAATGAACCGAGTCTTCAGTGGTAGAGAGAGGGGGTGATAACAGTGAGCAGTAGCTTTAGTTCATTCACTTTTAAGGGTTCCGGGTTAAAGGCCACCAGGGACTTTCAGTTGTTTCCCGGTAGGTGACCCGAGGATGTGTGACGGCAGAAGGAAGAGTCAGTGGAGACGGAGACGGTGGGTGACGGGGGAGGTGTAAGCGAAGGAACAGGACTCTTGCCTACGCAGAGGCTTAGCCAGTTACCCTCAGGCTGCAAACAGGATGAAAGGGCAAGCGCAAGGGGTTTCAGGAAATTTCCTGAATACGTGCAGACTCTCTTGTGTTGTAGACGCTCCTCCCAAACCCCACTGTCCCTCCTACCCTCTGGTGGAGATTTCAGACCCAGAGTCAGATCTAAAGGAACCAAGGGGCCCCCACCCCTGTTTCGCCCTCATCCTATCTGGCCCCAGCACTGCACTGCCCAGTCCGGCAGCCACAGGCCATGCGTGGTTATTCATTCAAATTTAAATCTAATACAATTAAAACTTAGCTCCTCACTCACATTAGCCACATTTTAAGTGTTGAATAGCCTCATGCGGCCAGTGGCCTCTGAATTGAGCAGCACAGATAGAGAACATTTCCATCGCTGTGGAAAGTTCTGCGGGACACCACGGCTCTAGAGTCTTAGCAGTACTGCACCCCCTCTGTTCTCTCAGCGACGTTCAGCTCCCTGCACCTGACAGAAAGTTCACTTTGGGCCCTCAGACACCGATTCACCCAGGTCTTGGGAGAAGAGACCAAAGCTTGGTCACAGGGGCGTATCTGTATTAACTAGACTCCCTTCGGCGTCCGAGCATGCCCACAAGCTTGGACTTTCCGTCCTGTCTGCTTGGGGGCTAAGCGGAGTCCCAACAGAGGGGAAGACACCTTTGCTGAGCTCAGAAACTCACAGCCGTCCTGCCTCCTGCCCTCCACACTAGAAAACTCGGGGCCTACGCCTTCTTTTGCTTCACCCTCTCTTCCCACTACCCCATTTCCCACTCTCCTCGGCGCAGGACAACGTGTCCTTGCTTTTGTGCTTCCCAGTGACAAACAAGCTGTTGCTGGGAAGGTCTGTCACATGCTGGGGCAATGTTCCCTGGTCAGTGGGAAGCAGAGGATGATGAGGCTGGAAAGGCCCCCAACCCTCTTCTAAGTCAACTCCCATTTGACAAGTGCGCCTATGCATTACTTTGTTACTTAAAGGACAGAGGGGGAGTCCTGGGTGAGAGGTCCCAGTTAAAAGGCACGCCATCTCCAAGACCCATCAGTGCAAAGCCCGGGGGTTCCGACTGAACTGCATTCCCAGGAATGTTCCTGCACTTCTCTGCCTTGGCTGATGCCCTTTCCAAGATAGCATTCCTTTTACGGAAAACGCGATGAACCGGGCCCATGGATTTCCTTCCACGTAGAGGGAAGCTGGGCAAGTGCTGGCCATGGTTAGGGAGAGAGACAACAGAACCCTTCTCAGGGAGACCTCCACCCGAGGGAAGCTGTCCTTGCCCCTCCCTTCTGGGCTCCCTTCTTTGGCCATTCCTCCTCTGTTCTTGCTCTGGTTTGATCACTTTCTAGGAGCAAACCAGGGTAAGTGAGCACGGAGTTCTAATTTGGGCCCAAAACATGGCATGCTTCAATCTTCACAAAAAATAAGCAAATAACTCTGCCTGGCAAAATTCTTCAAGAGAAAAAAAAAAAAAGAAAAACCCCCCTCAGAGCTGGGAGTAGGGAAACTCCCACACGGGAACTCGGGGGAATCTGCTGACAGAGGCCCAAGCATCCCCATCCAGCTTCCCTCTTCTCTGGGAAAGGGTCCGACCTCGGTGCTCGACGCAAACCCCATCTCTGACCCGAAGCACTTCACACAATCCCACTGACCCTGGGTGTGATGGAGGCGGGGGCAGAAGACAGACAACTGCGCCCCAGGGAGACATCCGCATCCTCCTGTCCCGCCCTGAAACACCCCACCCGACTTCTGTATCACCCAAGCCAGAGAGTCAAAGGACGAGATTCATTTACTTCATCCAAAGGCCACTGGGCTGAAGAGGATTGCCTGGCAAGTTCCTGGCATGGGAGTCAAAGCAGCGTAGTTCAAGTCCTGCCTCGTCTGCTCAAGTCCCAGGGCCACTCCTCCCCCGCCTCCTGCCCTTCTAACCGGTTGCTCAGCAGTTCCTTCCACTACTAGTAACTCAGGAGAAAGGTCTTATTTAAGCAGCCAGGGGGCCAGCCAAGTCAGAAGCAGCAACATGTCCTAAAATGGTCAAAGAAAACTCCACAGGTCTGGCTGGAGCTCAGCTCCTAAAGGAAGGGGGTAGAATCGGGCAGGGACTAGGAGTTTGACTTCCCGGGCACCCCGCCCCAAACCTCAGGCCCGAGATTAACCCCTTCTGCTGGCTACTTACCATTCCACAGGACCTCCAGTGAGTGGGGGGACAGCGGGATAGCCTTGTTCTCTTTTAACACAGGGCTGACATAGGAAGCTAAGTAAGGGACAGAGGTCCAGATCTATTAAAGGAAAGGGGTGGTGGTGAATGAACAAGATGGACCACACACACTCATCCACTCGATCCTTAGGGCCCAGCTGTTCTTATCTTTCCTCTCCTCATCACCTCCTTTCACTCCTGAGGCTCCTGCTGACACCCGGGAGTGCTCCCTACGGCACCGAAACACAGAACCAGAGCGAGCGGCTGGATCCAGGGTGCAGGAGGAGAACCAGAGCACCCTGACAGCCCCAAGCTACACTCTCTACCAATAGTTCAGAAACTTCAGTGAGAATGTTGAGCCTGCTTCTCTGTTTGAAAAATGGGTATCAGCTGGCATGAGGGTAAACGAAATGAAGAACATTTATTAAGTACCTATGACGTGCCAGGCAAGGTTTTAGGCATTTGGCCCCCTCCCTCGGTCACTCCATGCAGGGGTCCCTGCCCTGCCAACACCCATTCACCTTGGCAGCGTTAACGAGTCTCCAGGCATTGAGCAGGCCAAATCCGTGCTGGTGGCTGTGGCTGAAGCCAGCCTCGTTGGTGACCCAGTCGGCGCGGCGGTCCTCGTACTGAGGGAACAGAGGTCCTGCTTAGTCTCTCGGATTCCCAAGTACACGTGGCCCTCGGACAAGTTCAAGGGGCGCTAACCCCCTCCTCCCACAGTGGAAAATCCATGTGTAGCTCTTAACTCCCCAAACCTTAACTACTAATAGCCTGCTGCTGACCAGAAGCTTTCCTGAGAACAGAAACAGCTGATAAACACAAATTTTGTATGTTACATCTATTATATATTGTATTCTTATAGTAAAGTCAGCTGGAGAAAAGAAAATGTTACTAAGAAAATCTTAAGGAAAAGAAAATACATTTATAGCGGATCCACACGTCGTTCAAGGGTCAACTCTAAGGTCAACCACGTAACTCTGGCTTCCTTGCTGGCCCTGCTGGCTGACCCAGGCCAGACTCTCCCACTAAGGCCGCGAGGAATGGGTTCCCCAAGGAGAGCTGGGACGAAAGGTCAAAGCCCCATGATGTCACCAGCCCCCGGAGTAAGGGAGCCCAGAGTACTCCTCTGCAGGTGAAATGGCTCAGGCAGAACAGGCAAGAATGAGTTCAGGCCTGCGATCTGGATGGGGCGCCCACACCTGTTCTGTACATGGGCAACTCTGAGAAGCATCTGGCACCACACTTTCGGGTGAGCCTGAAGCCTCCCGCTCCCTGCAAGTCCGCGGAAGCAGAAGCGGGGGGAAGGCTGCGAGGGTCTCACCTGGGTGGCTGTGAAGACAATGATGTGCTGGACGTCCCGCCACGTGAGGCAGGGCCGCACCTGCAGCATCAGGGCTACCATGCCCGCCGCCAGGGGCGCTGCGGCGGAGGTCCCTGTGTGGCCCTCGGTGCAGCCTGTGCCCTTCTGAAGGTCCCAGTCAGTGGTCACCTGGGCAGTGGATGGGGGGCGGGGCAGGGTTAGACACGGAGTTCCCAGGTGCTGCGCAGAGGGGGATGGGGGACGGGCGCTCAGAGTAAGCCTGTCAGGTGGGCCCTTCCTTTGTGAGAGCTGAGTCTCTGACCAGAGGGAGGCCCGCTAGCGGGTCAGGACAAAGGAGATCCTTAATCCTTCGAGGCCCCACCGGACAAGCTCTGGAGAACTGAGAAAAGATGAATAAAGATAAAGAGCTACTTAGGAGGGTCTGGTTGTGGGCAGAAAGGAGATGGAGCTGTGGGAGACGCCTCAAGTGCAGAGGACAGTTTTCCCGATTCCTGCTCCTCTGTAACGGTTTCCCAAATTCCCCACCCCAACCCTCCAAGCCCCGCAGCCATGCTAGACAGAGGAAGTGGCCAGGGGAGCTCCCAGGCCCCAGCTGGAGCTGGGACAACAGTGACGGCACCATTCAAGGAAATCCAACTTGGCAGCTCAGCGACAGAGGCTGGAGTGACATCAGTGGGAACAAAGGGAGTGTGTTCCCAGGACACAGTTTCCTCTTGTGTCCTTGCCCACCCCGTGAGCTCAGCGTGGGCTTCATGTCTACACGGCCTGCCCGCCCTGGCCCAAACTGCCTCACCGCTCTGGGCCTGGTGCCTCAGTGTGGTTCCCATGAGCCCCCCTTCTCTACCTGTGGTTCTGAGGTGGGAGGCGACGGTGGGGGTGGGGGTGGGGAAGGAGAGTTACCTCGAGGGGAGAGATGGCCTCAAGTTCTCTTTATCAACCCTGGACCCAGAAAGGGTTTGCCTAAATCTGCTCCCCGATGTGGCTCTTTGGATCTAGGACATGGTGCCAATGTTAAGACTAGAGAATTTTTTTCTTCCAGGCTTCTCTTTGGGTCAGATACCAGGGTGCTGACTTCTGCCAAGAACTGCCCTTTCTCCGTTGTACTCACTGCTTCCCTCCCAGCTGTTAGAGCAGTTGCCAAGAGATGTAATTTTCACTCCGACACCGTGCTCTCCCAGAAGAAAAAGGAAAAAACCCTCCAAGTTGTAGTCTCAATGAGACTGGGAAGGCTGGTCTGTGCCAGGGAGCAGATGGGGTTTTTCCTGTTAAGGAAACAGCGTCACGGGGACAGTCTCGTGTGTGGCTGTGAGGGCGGTGAACATGCCAACGGCGGCGGGAGCCCCGGGCAGCCCTAGGAAAGTCCAGGGGAGCGCCCCAGGCACCCCGCGGGGGGACAGCACATGCTCATGCCCTGCTCCCAGGAAGACCGCTGCCCCACACAGCTGGTCACTTGAACAGACCCTGGCAACAGGCGGTTTCCAAGGCAAGGACATCCAAAAGTTGGGAGCTTGGCTCAACAAACTCTCTTTTCATTTCTGGACCAGTTACAGTTCAGAGGGAAGGTGGAAGGTGGGGGGTGGGGCATGAGGGGGAGGGGAGTTAGGAGAACAGCCAGGCACTGCTGAGCACCGGTCACAGCCATGCTAGGGGAGGCCTTCCTGGTGAGTGGGTCCCCCAGTTTCTGCCAGGGCACCAAACGCATAGTTTGCTCCTGCTCTTCCTCCTCACCCAGCCTGGCCTGGGTGGGGGAGGTGTGGTGCCCTTGAACCAGACCCCTGACTGCTGGGCAAAGCCCCTCTGACATGTTCCCTTCAGCCCACTCCCTTTTTCTTTCTCTCTGGGTGGGGGAGGCTGAGGGCCACAGGCCCAGGGCCTTGGAACTGTGTGTTGGCCAGAAGTCACTTATTGGCAAAACTGAGTATCAGTTTTGGAGAATGAATGTGACCCAGCAGGAGGACAAAGCGGCCTGATTCCCAGTGGCCCCAGAAAAACATCCATACCTAGGCCACTGGAGAAGGACAACCCCAGGCTCCAGCCCAGCTTTTCCCTGGAGCTCCTATCCCCATATCACTCTCTTCGGGTCAGCAGGGACAGGCAGGGAGCTCTGGGTCCCAAGCCAGAGACCTGTCCTAAGCCTGGTGGGATGGAGCTAAGCCAGCTGGGTGTGGGCATCAGACCCTGAATTCTTTAAAAGGTTCCCCAGCGTGAGAAGCCCCACTCCCCTGCTCCGATCTCGTTAGATATGGCTCCAATTCTAGCTCCAAGGAAAGAACTGTTTCTTAGGCTGACAGACGCATTTCCCAGACTCCTTTTCCCGCCCATTCCATGAAGACAACCACTGGCTTTACTCCCGATGGGGAACGTGACCAGAACTCACAGTGTTTACGTAAGGGCTAAAGAGCAGTGGAATGAAGATTTTTTTCCTAAGCCCACAGGAATCAGCCAAAGGCCAAATTCTACCAAAGGAAGACATTTCAAAAGAGTTCTTTAATCAGTGTGATGCGTACTAGTCCCAGTAACAAAATATATATTTGTAAGTTAAAATGTTAAAGGTAAAAACCATGTGCAGGTTTGTTTAGGGTCCTCAGCTCTGATTTCCCAACAGTGGCATACCCTCTGAGACCCAGATCTGCTAGGGAAGGGGGAGGAATTGGAGGGGCGGGCCGGGGAAGCATGGACCCAGAGAAATATGGCCGTGCTGCCTGAGAGATGTCTTGTGGGACAGGGGCAGGGAGTGCAGGGCCCAGGAGGCACTCACGATGCTCCGGAGCATCTTGTCCCCACCACTGAAGGTGACCGCCAGCATGGAGGCACACTCCTCGGCATAGAAAGGCATCCGTCCCTCCTCATCCACAGCGCCTGGGGACAGAGTAGGGGAAATGAGAGCTAGGGGCCTGATGATATCAGAGTTGTCATCTGGGAGGCTGTCCTGAGTTTAAAAAATGATCTCTGTGGCCCAAATGCCTCAGCGGGCACGCACTCCTCACCTGAAGAGGCAACCTCAAATGGCAGAGGGGATTCTGGGCCCTAACACCATTCTTTCAGTAGGCTCCATGTAAAACTGGGAGGGGGGGGCTCCACTCTATAGCTACCCATCTGTTCACACATTCATCTTCCTCCGTATTTATTCACTTATTAATGATCTACTGTGGGTCCCACACTGTGAGAGGCATCAGGGCCACACGGAAAAGGCCACAGTCTTGATCTCAAGGAGCCAAGTCAGGAAGCAAGTAGGGTAAGTAAATACAACCCGGGCAGCAGATGCTGTGGTGGGGGGCACAGGTGCGAGGCATTTGATTCAGACTAGTGGGGGTCAGGGAGGGCTTCAAGCAGGAGGCAAGTGGCCCGTGGGAAGAGAGGCTGGAGCGGAGGCCTGCCAGATGATGGGCTGAAAGTGTTCCCGGGGTATGGTGGCATCGAAGGAGGGCCCTGAGATGCTCTGAAGCAGGGCTAGTCCCTCCTTAACTATGACCGGGAAGAGAAGATCGTGCTCATACAGTCAGACACCATGGAAGCCAGGGCACGCCCCAAATACACAACCCTCCACCCTCCCCACTGAGGGACACCCCCCCCCCAAGATGTGAGCCTTCTACCACACAGCCCGTTCGCCACTGAGTCCCACGCACACCAACACAGAGCCCCTCGCCACGCAGCGGCACACACATGCTCTCAGGCACACAGACCCGCCAGGCCACTACCTATGGTGACGGTGTAGATGGAGTTGGCATAGCCATCATAGTTGCAGTTGTCGTTGTGCTGGCCCCCGTTGCCGCTGGCCACCACAAAGATGCTCCCAAAGCCCCGGCGGCCAGCAATCACCCCATGTTGCAAGGCAGCCTGAGGAGCAAAAAGGTCCTGCGTCAGCTGAGGAACTCAAAGACCTCCACCGTCCATACCAGTAGCCTCCTCCCCTTCTAGAAAGAAAAGGGGAGGGCGCCTGGGTGGCTCAGTTGGTTAAGCGACTGCCTTCGGCTCAGGTCATGATCCTGGAGTCCCGGGATCGAGTCCCGCATCGGGCTCCCTGCTCGGCGGGGAGTCTGCTTCTCCCTCTGACCCTCCTCCCTCTCATTCTCTCTGTCTCAAATAAATAAATAAAATATTTAAAAAAAAAAAAAAAGAAAGAAAAGGGGAAAGAAGCCCAAAGGCACTGGGGCAACGGGGAGAGAGATTTAAAGATGGAAACAAGAAGGGGAGGGAGCTGTGAGTTGAGCAAGTGTTTGATGTGAGTTCGCTGCTTATCAGATCCGGTGGGGCCAGTGATGGGGGGGTCGGGGGGTGGGGGCAGGTCACAAAATCACAGGGAAACAACTCAAGGCACTGTTCCATTTCTCTAAGAACTGGTGTCCCCCATGCTCCCCCACCTCCAGGTTAGGAGGACTCGCCCAAAAGGAGGTGTTGGGGCTGGATGCCATGAGTCTGGCACCACAAACGGGGGTAGGGTGGGAAAGGGAGAGACTTGCAGTAGTTCTGGGACCTGAATGAAGAGGGTGTCCTGGGTCTCGCAATCTTCATGCAGCTCAGTTACCTTTCCAAGCTGATGGGGGCCATCCACTGTCTTCCCATCATCATCGGGTCCCCAGCTGTTGAGAAATACAGAGGGAAGAGCCAGAGCCCCACTATGGTGGCCCAGCCAGGCCTCCCAGTCCCAACTGACCACCCCCGTGCCTGAGCTCTTCCTGTCCTCCCAAGCATTCCAGTTCAGGCCCCCCATGATTTAAGACACAGGGTGCAAAGATCCAGCCCTCACTCCAGAGTGGAAAACAGAAGTATGTGACAAGGTTCTTTGTTTCCTTAGAAACGTTCCCAGTTTAGGACTACTTTCACCTGCCCCTAAAAATCCTTTCTCAGGTCCTAGGGAGCAGGAGACAATACATATTGGTAGAGAGGGACAGGAGGCCACCCATCTCCTGATCTCAGACAAGGCTTGATGGCAGAGCACCCGCAAAGGAAGTACTCCATCTGTGTAAGTTCCTGGGTAAGCGAAATGTATACTGTGGATGATGTCATGCATTTAAGGGGGGTGCTGGTTGGGGTGCCATTGGTGCCGCTCCCCAACCATCACCAGAACCCGAGGCTGCGGGTGCATTCACGTGTGTAGGGTGGCGGGAACTGGTGCTGGGCATTCAGCTGGGCTGTGGTGGGGGAGGAGCCCTTCTGAGCTCATGAAACAGGTGAACACGGGGCAGACCGGCGCACTCGTCATTTGGGAACCCGATGACTGGGGTGATATGGGGCGTACGACTGAGAACCCAGCAGCCGGGGGTCTGGAGAGAGAAGAGTGATGGACTTGCGGGCTGAAGCTGGGAGGACCCCGGTCGGCACCTGTTGCCCTGCCGTCGGAGGCTTTGTGTCCGGCTCTGCCGTACCTGCAGCTGTAGATGTCGTTGATCTGGTAGTGCTTGTTGAATGCCACGGCCTCCATGCTGTCCGTGAGGGGCCCGTCCAGTACCCGGATACCTAGGCGGTGAGGGCCCCATCAGCTCCTCGACCACGCGGGTCCGCCCGACGGGGAGCTGAGTGGTGGCGAGCCACACGTGGAGACTTACTTTTCCCTCTGAGCGCTCTGGTACCCTTGAGGTTTTATACCATGTGTATGTACCAGAATGGTTTTTTTTTCTTCTTTTTTTAACAGAATGCTAAATCTTGGATTTTAAGGATCATGCGGGCTGGTGGGAAGAGGCCTGGGCTAGAATGTAGGTAGCCAAGGTTCCCTTATTTGCATCCTTAATCACATAGAGCCCCGGTGTGGTGCTTGACACATGGAAGGTGTCCAAAAAATGGTACTCATTACCATTACTGCTCCATGGATGCCTAATTTCACCCTCTAAAATGGGGTGGGTCACATCCTGGTGGCCACGTAGGGACAAACGGAGCTTTCAGAAGGGACTTGGCTCTCAAGTTTCTTGCTCACTCTGGAGCTCATTTATGGAGAGGGCTGCTGCCCTCTGCTGGAGAGTAAGAGGAATATAGCCAATCCGTTCAGTCTGCAGGTTCCTCGCACTTTTGAGCAGTCTGGGAGGGCTCCCCCATTCAGGCCCTTCACGTTCTCCCTTGGTGGACAAAGACTGAGAGAAAGAGCCTTAGAACAAGCTCCAGTGGGGGCCAGAGCTGCTCAGCTCTCCTGAAAGCAGGGAGTGCAGACAGCAACCATCAGAAGGGCTGGGAGCTGGAGAGCTGGGAGATGGGAGGGGTGTCTCCACAGACAGACCGGAACAAGGAAGAAAGGCAGGTAAAAGGGTACTTGGGAAATTACGAAAATACAAGTATAACCTAGATAAGGAAAAGGAGTTATTGTTACAGTGAGTTGGGTCATTTTTTTTTTTTTTAAAGATTTATTTATTTATTTGAGAGAGCGAGAATGAGAGAGAGAGAGAGTACATGAGAGGGGGGAGGGTCAGAGGGAGAAGCAGGCTCCCCGCCGAGCAGGGAGCCCGACGCGGGACTCGATCCCGGGACTCCAGGATCATGACCTGAGCCGAAGGCAGTCGCTTAACCGACTGAGCCACCCAGGCGCCCCAGTGAGTTGGGTCATCTGATGGGATGTAACCACGATCAGAAAAAGGGGGGAAGTGACTGAGTGGTTGGGGCTTGAGGCCTCTGTCCCACATCAAGGCCATTCCCCCTTTTATCTGTTTTATATAATAGGGTTTGCGGCTAATGACAAGTTTGAAACACCACTGCACTGAACAAAATCAATGAACTGATATGTCTGACAGACACCTATTACAAGCTTACCCTTTGCCCAATGCCAGGTGTGTTGAGAGTGGGATCAACACGGTTCAGCGCTCGGGGGAGGGGCAGGCAGGGAGTGAAGACCATCACCACGGGAGAAGCCCACCGAGGCTAGAGCAGAAGGTACCTGCTATGCGGCTCCCGTACGCCACTCCGACCGCACAGAAGCTGTTGTTGGGCACTGCGGCAATCTCTCCCGCACACCTTGTGCCGTGGTGGTTGCCATTCTCCACATCCGGGTGTGGCATAGGGTCAGGGTCGTTGGAGTTGAGGTCATAGCTGCCCTCAGGGCTCTGAAACATTGGGGGGGACATGTGGTCATTCACAGGTTGTAACGGGTAGGTCCTGGAGTCCAGGGGAGAGGAGACCTGGGGGAATCTGGGACTTTGGGGCTCCCAGCCAGCGCAACAGGCCCGTCTCTCTCTCTCAGGCTGCAGACATGAGAACAGGACACGTGGGGCAAAACGGAGAAGTGCCACAGGCCTCAGCAAACTTCTCTCTTGTCCATTATAGAAACAGGTCCAGGAGATGGCTCCGTGGCTTGGGAAGCCCAGGATAAAAGAGACTTAGAGCTACCTAAAGACCAGGCTTTGGAAGAGGAAGGTGCTCAGAACTCATGGGGAGAGGGAAGTTGCCTCCAGGGGCCACTCCTTACTGCCCAGGGCGGGGAGCAGCAACCAGAACCAGGAAAAGTGCCACTTGGAGTCCTCTTCCTGGTCTTAACTACCAGACTGGAATGCTGGCTGGGGGAGAGGGGAGGACGAAGAACACCATCCCACATCCCAGGCCCTTTTGGGTGGCCCAGGGACCTGTAAGAAAGGGGGCCAGACTGGGGCCGTATAAAGAAGGGGGTAAGACGCGGGAGTCGGAGGGGGCGTCCCAGGGCCACTCACGTAGTTGGGTGCGATGTCCTGGATGGTGTGCTCCACTCCGTCATCCACCACCACCACGGTCACCCCTCGCCCTGTGACATTGCGTTCCCACACACCTGTCACGTTGATGTCCCTGCCGGGGCTCCGCCGGTTATTCTGTAGGAGACACGGAGTCAGAAGCTATTTCCAGAGCCTTGGGAGCCCAGTGACACATGACGCAGCTCACAGACAGATAAGTCAGAGCTAGCTCGGCCACCATCAAAGGGCCGGGCAGTGGCTGTAGACCAACAGGTCTAGGTGGGGACAGAGGGACAAGGGAGGGCTTTGCCACCACCTTGCTCTCCAGAAGGCCTGGCATCATTCACCGGTGATACAAGTGAAATGGTGGCAAGGACAAGGGTTGGAGGATACAATAATTAGGCCGCATGATGTATAACCTATGAACATTACATAACGCCATGTGGTACCAAGTGTTTACCAAGTGCGAGGCACACATATATGAATTCCCTCCTCCTAGCCAGAACTCCACCAGGTATATAATGTTACGATCTTCACGTAAGTGATGGAGCTGGATCTGAGCCCGGGCAGCCTCGCCCCAGCACCCACCCCCTCACTTCTGCAGTCCACTGGCTCTCCAGAAGCGAGCACAGGGAAGGTGGAGCCCGAGGGCAAAACACGCCACTGAAGCCAACAGAAATGTGTCCTCAGGCAAAGGATGGGGGCCACGGGAGAGTAATACAAAAGCCCTCTAGAGAACAGAGCACCCCAAACTTCTCCGCCTGGGAGCTGAAGACGGCTGGGTCGGGCTTACCAGGTGCCACTGCTGCGGGTACTTGGGGTCATTGAAGTGGACGCTGCGCTTGGCCCGCTTGAGCAGCCTCTGCTCCGAGTGCCAGTGGACAGCTTCGTGCCCAGCTAACACAGTCTCCGCCCGCCGCCGGACGGCCTCCGCCGGCAGCTCCTGCTGCTGCCCGGCCGGCTGGACGAGGAGGTAGTACCCCTGGAGCTCCCCGATGCGCCCAGCGTTCAGCAGCCCCGCTGCCCGGGCCAGGGCATCTGCCTTCTGCTCCAGGGTCTCTTCTGGCCCCTCGCCTTCCAGGCTGTCCAGGTGCACGGCCCAGCTTAGCCCCCCTGGGCCCTGCGCTCCGGGCCCATGCGTCCCTGCCAGGCCCATGACCCAGGGAACCAGCAAGAAGAGCCCGGCCAACTCCAGCCAGAGGCAGGCGGGGAGGCCCAGGGGGGCATCCAAGTGTGGCACTTTCTGCCTCCCCTTCGGCATCAGAGCAGTAGGCTGCAGACAAACAGAAAGGACATCAGAGACCCCTGCGGGGAATCTGCAGGGACACCGAGCCACCCACGTATGACACCTAGAAACCCCCAATCCACTCCGTTTACATTTTTAAACACTTGATCCTCTCTTTTTTATTTATTTATTTATTTATTTATTTATTTTTATTCTTATGTTAATCCCCATACATTACATCATTAGTTCTAGATGAAGTGTTCCATGATTCATTGTTCGTGCATAACACCCAGTGCTCCATGCAGAACGTGCCCTCCTCAATACCCACCACCAGGCCAACCCATCCTCCCACCCCCCTCCCCTCTAGAACCCTCAGTTTGTTTTTCAGAGTCCATCGTCTCTCATGGTTCGTCCACCCCTCCGATTTCCCCAGCTTCATTCTTCCCCTCCCGCTACCTTCTTCTTCTTCTTCTTTTTTTTTTCTTAACATATATTGCATTATTTGTTTCAGAGGTACAGATCTGAGATTCAACAGTCTTGCACAATTCACAGCGCTTACCAGAGCACATACCCTCCCCAGTGTCTATCACCCAGTCACCCCATCCCTCCCACCCCACCCCCCACTCCAGCAACCCTCAGTTTGTTTCCTGCGATTAAGAATTCCTCATATCAGTGAGTTGATCCTCTCTTTTTATTCACATTTATTCCTGAGCAACAGGGATAAGCCCGCCGGTGGGGTGTGGGCCGGTACTAACTCCAGTGGATACGTCCACGGCAGGATGGCAGTCACCATCTCACCAGACAATCAGGCAGGGTGTCCAACTGCTAACAGGCACCATGTTGCTCTTTGCCACTGTTGCTCTGAAAAGGGCTCAAAAGTCCTATTGCTCTTCAGTAGGTTACTGGCAGAATCATGACTGTTCCTTAGAAGAGACCTTCCTCCCTTATTTCGAGCAGACATCAATCTTCCCCCCAGCTGACATCTCAGCCCAGTTGTCCTCGGGGCCGACTCTCCACAAGGGTGTCCCAGTCCTACCTGGACTCTGTGTGAGGCTGAGCTCCTGGTCTGGCTAACCACCTCACGCTCATTTTGTGCAAATGGAGAAAAGGCATCACTTTCACTGAGGAATATTGGCTCCGAGCACAGACTGCAGACCTGTGAGTCCCAAGAAAAGAAAAAAGAAAAGAAGAAATGGTGTCATCCCAAATCCAGTGGAGCCAGCAGAGGCTAGCCATGACCTGTGACCAAGGGAAGTGGCCAATGATCAAGTGTCATTTCCAGGGATCTCAAGTGGGTTGTAGACTGGCAGAGAAACCCTACTTCTCATCTTAACCATCATGCCACCCTCTTTTCTGTGTTCCCCAGAGGCCCGGAAGAGGGCTTGAACTGTTGCCCAGACACCCTCCTCGAGAAGCAGATAGTCCTATTTCCTAGAAGTCGAGGTGGAGCTAACTTCCTGATTTCTGTATCTCTGACAGATGCCAGGGAAGTAAGAGTAGGTAGGAAGCAGAGGAAATGGTGAAAACCCGAGAATGCAAACAAAACTGAACAGGCCTAAAAAGCAAGTGGGCAAGCGGGAAGGAAGAAATGATGGGAGAGTTGGAAAGCAGCACTAAACTCGGCTCTCCTTAGGCATGAGCTTGGCTGGGTGGCTTGCAAGTGAGGGCTCACACTCTAAACTGGGACTGGCACCCATGGTTTGATTTCAGAAGGGCCAGCTTTAGAACTGGTGGGCAACTGTGGTTCCAGGGACAGGTGAGGTGACAGCAGAACGTGTGTGTACCTATTGGCAACTGGGCCCCTTTAGAGTCATCTGCTCTGTGCTTGTGTCGAGGCAAGGCTTTGTACCCACACACACCCAAAGGGATCCAACTTAAAACGTGATAGAAAAATAGGTCTTGGGCGCCTGGGTGGCTCAGTCGTTAAGCGTCTGCCTTCGGCTCGGGTCATGATCCCAGGGTCCTGGGAACGAGCCCCACATCGGGCTCCCCGCTCCACAGGAAGCCTGCTTCTCCCTCTCCCACTCCCCCTGCTTGTGTTCCCTCTCTCGCTGTGTCTCTCTCTGTCAAATAAATAAATAAAATCTTTAAAAAAAAAAAAAAGAAAAATAGGTCTTTTACTGAAGTCTCTTTGGAAAGGGAGAAGACAACTTAGGTCACCTGACTTTTCCCTCCAAAAAACTGCATTCCACATCTCCTTAGGCTGCCGGGCACATTCCCTCTCAAATTCCTCCCCACCCTCCAGTAGCCTCCACTGTCCCAACATACTCAGAGGCCTTTCCCAGACCTCACCAAGTAGAACAACATCTTGCGAGACAGCCAGATAATGCCCCACCTAGGCAATCCCCTTCAAGTCCCCTAGATCCCACTACATTTCTGGAAGAGAAGAGAAACCTGACCACCACTTCCTCCTCTCCCTCTGGCAGAGCAGGACCGTCTCCCATTCCCACCCTAGGTTTCTGGGAAAGGAACCTTAAATACTCTCTGAAAGCAGCTCACAACCTCACCCAACTGCTGTGCGTATCTTTACGGCTCTTAGGTGCCAAGGGAGAAAAGAAAGAATATGGGCAGCCCTGAGTCCTGGGAAGAGCCTGTCCCAAGAGACTGCCCTCCTCGAAGCCTCTACACCAGGTTCCTAGAAACCAGGTTGCGTCCCAGGTCAGTTTCATTGACTTACCTCTCCCCGGCCTCGACTGGCCCGTGCACTGTGTCCTTCCTCTCAGAGGGACCCCTACTACCCTGGGATCCGTGACCCCAGTGTCCCGTCTCCGGGGCTCCCCCACGCCGGGGCTGAGGGCGCCCTCCGTGCGGCCCCCACGCCCCCCCGCCCCCGGCTCTGGGCCACTCGGACTGCCCCTGCCCCGCCCCCACCGAGTTCCCAACTCACCGGCCCGGCCGCAGCTGCCGCCGCCGCCTCCCTGCGGAAACTCGCGGCTTCCCGGGAGCCCGGGGAGCCAGTGACAGTAGCATCACTTCCGCCCGGCGGCGCAGCCAATCAGCGGCGGGGCCCCGGCCCGGATGAGCGGCCCGGAGCAACCGGCGCTAGGGGGCCGCCCGCTCCGGGCATCCTCCGCCGAGAGAGGGGCGTGAGGGCGTGGTGGGCTCCGCTCGCCTGGCCCCACCGCCCCGAGTTGTCGGGGCGTCCTCAACGGGGGCCCTGCCCGGAGGGACGATCTTGCCCTTCATGGCGTCCTCTGGAAAGGGCGTCTCGGTTGCGACCTTTTAAAAACACCTCGTTCCTCTTCTCTCTCTGATCGCCATGGCCCCGACTCTCCCTGGGACCTTCCCAGAGGGGCTCCTCCCTCCGCCGGGTCTCCTTCCTTCTCGCCGTCGCCTCTCTTCCTCCCCGCATCCCCGAAAGGGTCCACTCGTATGTTAGGGGGCTACCGCGGAGTCCGCGGCTCCTTCACGGTGCCGGCTCTGGCCGCCAGAGGGCGCCGTCGGGGGCGGCGAGGTGCCGTCGCGGCCGCTCCCCTCCCGGCCGAGCCTCG